ATGAGCTTTTTAAAAAAGGAGATGGTTATGTACTACCTATTAATCATTATTATTAACCTGTGGGATAGCTCAGAGCACAAGACTCTTAGGGTTCTGGGTTCGAGACCCACACCTGCATCACAGGGGTTGGACTAGATAACCCCTCCAACTCTACAATTCTATGGGTCTAGGATTAATTAATTATCATCTGCATTTTAGCGGATACATCTTTGCATTGTTTCAATCCCAAAAACTTAACTACTTTTTAACGATAACCCTTCGTATGTTCTTAGCTATGTGTGCTTTATCTGTATTTTTATTTTTTTTATTTCTGTGAGCTGCATAGAGTCCCAGTGTTGGGGGAAAGGCAGGGTATAAATAAATAGATAATGTCTGCCATATCAGAGACATTGTGGATTTGAATCCCAGCTCCTGGGGAGCATGAGTGGGAAACATACAATCCTGCTTGTGGGCTTCCCATGTTGCACTCCGGTTCCCATCAGCCCCAGACAGCATGGCCAAAGGACAGGCAGGGTGAGAGTTGAAGCCCAACACCTGGAGGGCGCCATGTTGGCTACCCCTGTCATAGGCAAGTGGTTGGCCACTGTGGGCATGGACTGCTGGACTAGATAGGTTGGGTGGAACAATGGCCCAACTCAGCATTAATCAACTTTATAGATTTGGATATAGAACACTTTCCTCCCTGTGCCTGGCTTCTATATTCATTTAGGGGAAATGTCACTTGAAAGAGGTGGCTTGTGGAATATTATGGACTACATTTGACATAGATATGGAACCTGCTTGGCATTGATTTAAAATTTGATTGTCCCACACTTGTTTTGTTTGTTACTGTTATTGTTCTATTCATTTTACTTTTATGTGCCTTAAACTTGATGTAAAAACTTAGTAATAATAATAATAATTTGTTTTTTAAAAAAAGAAAAGGGGGGTACATGAATGTGACATTACTGACCAGGAAAGTACTTCTGATAGTAGCAGCATGCAAACTGTAGACTGTGTTAGGTGGTGATTGGTTCAATGCCTAGATGTGCAAAGGAATAAGCTGTATCTGTGTATCTGAAGAAGTGTGCATGCACACGAAAGCTCATACCAAGAACTTAACTTAGTTGGTCTTTAAGGTGCTACTGGAAGGAATTTTTTTTGTTTTGACTATGGCAGACCAACACGGTTACCTATCTGTAAAAGGAATAAGCTGTTAGCATATGGTTCTGAGACATGGTTTTCACAGTGTTTCCTACGTGGAGTTCCTTTCCACCACAAGACTGCTTGAGGCAACCATTTCAATTCCCATTGAAAACATCAGTCCACAGACATTTGGCTGTTCACAGTTACTGGGACTGACCATGCGGAGAGATATGCTAGGAAAGCAGCCCTTGAGACAATATGCTTTCTAGTGAGAATGCAGTACAGCTTTTCCCCAGCTCTATTCCCCTCAAAAGTTCCACTGCTGGTTTTTCTAACATGCGCAGCTCCATTTGCATAGACAGTGAGCACATTCAGTTAAGAGTATGCATGAGAAAGCCTGTTTTCTCCACACACATGACCCCTGAAATGGTTTTAAGGGCTTAATTCTATTTGATTCCAAATTTAAGCTGTATGCGGTATTAGGTGCAGGCTGTGGGATGGATAGCCCTGAAAAACAAATTAAGAATCTGTTTTCAGCTTAATTGGTTAAAATAGAATCTGCTTCTTTCTTCTACTTTCACAGTTGAGCATGTTTTCTATTTTGTTTTTTGGTTTCTCAGGAAGCAACTTAGCACAAATGCCTCTGTAGCAGAACAAGGCCTAGCTGGTAGCTATTCTTTTTTCTTTTTTTTAATTGCGGTTTCTTCCCACCCTCTCTGCTCAAGTATTCTTTTGAGACCTGCCTGAGTTGAGTGAATTATAAGACACACACATTTCTGGTGTAGTGCTTCTCTCATTGATTGCACTGACTGGAGAGGGCTGGATTGATCAACAGCAGCCACAAGTGGCCCTGAATGCAGCCAACAAACCATTCATTAATTCTGACTGATCTCAGCGTAGTAAGAGCTTGTCAAGACTGCCAGTTCCCCTTCCCTTCATGCCGCTTTCCTCCGAGGTAGGGCTCCGATCTTAAATTTAAATTCAACATAAGCGGGGAATAAAATTGCCAGCCTAATCACTTTAGCGTCTAATTTTATGCAAACCTCAAGGACAACTGCTAAAATCATTAGAGCAAAACGCAGGCTTAATTATGTGTTCATTATAAACCCCCTTGCTGCTAATCTCGCTCCTTCCAAAACAGTGCTGTGAGATCTTTGCTGGGGGAGAGCTTCATGCAAGGTTTCGTCTTGTGTGGCAGTGAGTGAAGGGATTATAAACAACAAAAGCCTTGTGCATCGGGCACTGTGCTTCTCAATCACGAAATACGGAGTGTTATTGCAGCACTGCCTCTGTCCACATAAATTGCAAAGCAAGCTGCTGCTAATCAGTGCTACCTTCTCTTATGATGGAACTATTTGTCAGATGCCCTTACAATATCTGGCTGTTTTCCAGCTGAATTGAATGACATTGCAGTGCTAATTGAGTGCAAACTCTGAGATCTTCGGTGATAACAGTCCAAGTCCCTTATAAAATTTCCTGTGAGTCTAATGTCTTTCTATCCGCAGAGGTCATTAGCTGCATTCAGCTATTGCTCTGAAGAAACAGAGAAAGTTAATACTGTAGCAGGGGGAAGCTAGGATGTGCAAAATATTTTCCTTTATTTACATGGCTGTATCCATTTTCCCACAAACTGGCATTATTGTTTGGGACGCCTGCAAACAAAAGCAGATACAGTTGTTTCTACAGGGTAGATCCAAATCACTATGCATCCAACTTGAATATTATTATGTGCAGCAGGCTTATCTGTACAGTGGTACCTCAGGTTAGGTACTTAATTCGTTCCAGAGGTCCGTTCTTAACCTGAAACCGTTCTTAACCTGAGGTACCACTTTAGCTAATGGGGCCTCTCGCTTCTGTTGCGCCATCGCCACACGATTTCTGTTCTCACCCTGAGGTAAAGTTCTTGGAGTCTGTAACCCGAAGTGTTTGTAACCCGAGGTACCACTGCACATTGCTTTCTCCATGTTAAGCCACAAACCTCATTCTAAGGGGGCCAGTGCAGATAGAAATCATCATTGTGATTCACATGGGCCCTTGGCTGAACTGTGCATTGCCTTGCACATTCATTTTGCAAGTCCCTCAGTGACAAGTATCTATTTTGTCCTGTTTTTGTTTTGTTTTAGATATACAGTGGTACCTCTGGTTGCGGACACGATCCGTTCCGGGGTGCCATTCGCACCCCAAAAAGCCCATAACCAGAGTGGTGCTTCTGTGAATGTGCAAAGCACGATAGAGTGCTTCTGCCCATGCGCAAACCGTGCAGAACGCTTCTGCGCATGTGTGAACCACGCAGAATGTTTCTCTGTGTGTGCGTGCGTGCGTGGCGAAACCCAGAAGTAAACACTTCCAGGTTGGCCGGGTTCTTAACCCGAAAAAGCGCAACATGAAGCGTTCTCAAGAAGAGGTATAACTGTATATTATTATTATCATGATCATTATTATTTATATGCCGTCCATCTAACTGGATTGCCCCAGACACTCTGGGCAGCTTCCAACAAATCAAAAACATTAAGCACATAAAAACATCAAACATAAAAAACTTCCCCATATCTATCCATCTGCTGGGGTTTTTTTAACTACTATTTCCTGTTTTTACTGTACATCGCCTTGAGATGATTGTGTAAAAGGCAATAAATAAATTGATGGTGATAATTCCAAACCAGCTACCTGTTCAGTAAAGTTTTAAGGTGCAGTTTTTGCTGCAGGACCAGAGAGATGTGGATGCTCATAGAATTCCCAGGCTAAGCTGCACTTAAAATTTTTTAAAATGTTTCAAGCTTTGCCATTCCCCCCCCCCACTGCACCCTGCCCACCACCAAGTCTGCTGGTTGTGCAAATTGATGGTACCATCTGGGCTACATTAGCAGAAAACACAGGGAATGATGGGGGCGTTTAAAAATGTGTAAGTGGTTGAAGGTGAACTTGAGACCAGAAACAGCGTGGGCACAGTTTCACATAGACTATGAAAAGGTTTTCAAGGAGCTAGAAGAAAACTTAGAAAGTATCTTATCTGGTGATCCCTGTTCAAGAATCTTGAAAATTTTAATGCGTGATTCTAAAATGCCACCAGCATCATGAACTAAATAAGTGTTGTGTTTATATGCATCTAAAGACATTTTAGCTATTATAAGTAAAAATCTTTTTTTTTTTTAATGCCCATACCTTCAAATCATTCCTCCCCTAATGTGAATTTATCATAGAGTCATGCTATTAGGACAAAGATTTGGAAAGGCATATGCACTCATCTGATCAAGGTTATCACTGATTTTTTTTAATTAAACTGCTGCTGCCTATAATGAATGTATTCAGAAAACTGACCTCCGAAAGGCAGTGTTCAGTTATGAATTGGCCCAAAGAACAGTTCTTATTAAGGTTTGTACTAGCAGATTAGTGTCAACTGTAGCAGCAGAATAGCTTTCAGAGCTATAGATAGGTAACTTCAAAATAAAACATACTGTGCATGTTTGTAAGCAAGAAGGCAAAGTTGGACATATCAGAAATCTCTCACTGCTTGAAAACTAAAGAAGTATTGCTTTACTTTCTCCTGTTTTTCCCCAAACTATACAATAGTAAGAAGATTGTCTAGTTAACATGCCATATTTCTGCAGCTTGTCATATAAAGAAGCATTGAGGTTTCTGTCTGAAAAGTGTTGTTAATAAAATGCATTTGATATATATTTTAATAAAATGGAACAAGAGTGAGGTATCAGTTGTCTCAGTGAGGCCCCAAAGTTTTCAGAAATGCAAAAAAACCCCAAAACATTTTGTTGCAAGATCCACTTGTAAATAATACATATCAAAAGAATGTTGCTGTATTATTATTTTTTCTATCTCGCTTTAACTCTTTCCCCCAACAAAAATCTCTTTGTCAATAGGTGCATTTTATGAAATGGTTCCAAGCTTTCCTCGAGTGGAGGAGAACATTCGCGTGGATTCCTACAGATACAGCCACAGATGGAAACGGCATTCAGAGTTCCTCAAGTCAGTTGACACAAACAGAGCCAGTGTGGGGCAGGACTCTTCAGAACCTGGGGGCTTCACAGATCTGCTGCTTGATGACACACACGACAACACTACCCAGATTGAGGTAGGGAGCTATTGATCTTCGTTCTGTTGCCTTAAGATACCTGCATGGTGAGGAGGGGATATGAAAACTTGTCACCATATAGGGATTGTTAGGGGCTAGGGAGCAGGGTCTCCTCAGGCTCAGGGGCTGAATGTGTCTCTCCAGGCCACACTTCTCACCAGAGTGGAATGCGCCCTTGAACACATAGAGAGGAGTGTGTGAGTTTGTAGAAACTGGCCTACTGTCAGAGGTTGTAATGTTTACATTATTTGCACTGTCCACTTTTGCCTCTGGCTCTGCCCAACACTGGCATGTGGCCCTCAGAAGGAGATGTGGCCCTGGGCTGAAAAAGGTTCCCTGCTGTGTAACGATGCTACACACACACACATACACACATTAACAAGCTTTGTGCCCAAAACTTTTTGTGTTAGATCCAGTTTCCTTCCCACTATTGCTTTTTTCTTAAAGGCTTTGCTGCACGATAAAGAAACTTGCTAATGCCTCCATGTCTGGGTGGCTTCTATTCTAAATCCTTATTGTAACAACCATAGTAGTCCACTCTTGATATACGAGCAGGTCCTTAATGGATAACCACAGTAGAGGTAGCTGTGTCTTTGTGCCTCTTCTGAATAACCATCATTTCTCCCAATGCTTTATGTTCATCAAAAGCCCCACACAGTGGCATTGATCTTAGTTGCTCTTCTTTTTCACATTTTGCTGTTTATGTTTTGGATTATAGTCTCTTATTTATATTGAATGATATTCCTACGAAGTGAGATTCCATTTAAAAAAAAATCAGACATTTTTCTCCAGTATAATGCAATGTACTTTGATATAGTGCCAAAATATAGCTAGATTTACATTGTTAGTATCTCCTCACCCATTTCCTTAGGTTACAGGTTTTTTTTAAAAAATGGCGTCCCTCCTTCCTCTTGTTACCGGAAAAATCCGAGGGCTCTCTTGGACAAAAACAAAGACACCAACCAGGATAACTTGGAGCAAAACAGCAGCCTGTAGGCTTGGCCTTTATTGAACTGTTGCAACAGGGTATTCCCCTCACTCGCAGGAGAGAGGAAAGACCCCGAACAATGGCCTGCAAGACCTTATAAAAACTTTTGAAATTCCCCTCCTCCAGGTCAAGCCCACCCCCAGAAACATCATGCATACATTACAGAAGGGGTTGACATCATGCATACATTACAGAAAGGAGGGGTTGAGGGAGGAGTTGTGGTGGTAACCTGAGTGTCCAGTCACCTAGCTGGTTCCTCCTTTCCCCCTCCCCATGAGTACTTTCCAGGTGACAAAGGGGAGTTTGCAGTTTCCTGCCCCCAGAGGGAAGATCTGATCATTGTCCTTTGTTTCAGTCTGTGGTGAATCCACTACCATATGCAAGTTCTTTGTCATTTTGATTGTCTTCTGTCTGGGATTATCAAGGCTGACATAGCAACTGGGCAGGGCTCCTGTGGATGTGCTGGGATGGTGAAGGGATTATGGCTGACCAGAAACCAAGCCACCCCCCTTTGATAGTCCTTGTCACATGGAGTAAAAAATGGAACAGTGCAAATCCGATGTATGGTTGATTTTCTATGAATTTATAACAGAAATGTGGCGTATGTAGTGTGTGTGAGTGTGAGTGTGTGTGAAGTTTGTGCAAACAGAATGATTGGGGTGGGGGTTTCCTGCTACACTCTGCATGCTCCAATTCCCCCTCTGACAGCCCATTTCATTGCGAACTGTCGTTTGGTTATACATGCAAACTGAGCAAATAATGGCTTGTGAAATCTATCATTTGTTTCTAAATCAGCTTGGTTTGAAGGCAACCATAGTTTGTCTGGATGTAATGGCACACTATGGTTTACCAGAAATTAGGGCCAGCTCACTGGGCTCTCACCGGACACGACTAAACGACTAAACAACAACAAGAACACACTGGGCTCTCATGCCAGGCCAATACTGATGTTATGCTAAAGCATTGTTTAGCTTTCTGTGGAAGAGTGCAGGGAGCCCTGGGACTGCATACTCCTCCTTCTCTCTCTCCCACTAGCACATGTGAGAGGAGACCAGAATATTATGTCCTTAACCAGATTTCCCTGGGAATCCCAGTTAGATAAAAACTCTATATAATTTAAACAAGACAGGATCAAACTCTAGTAAGATCCTGAAGTGTTCACCAACTAGAACTTAAACTAACCAAAGTCCCCCCCCCTCCAAGTTTTGGGTGTAGTGGGGAAACTCTGCTTAGATTAAAACAAGAAATAGAGGAGTTTGCTCATTTTCTTTGCTGCATGCCGGAGGCATAGATGATATGGGGGAATGCACAAGCCTGATGCTAGCTGCAGCTCATTGATGTGATGCTAAGCCATGGTTTACCATTATGTTCAGACCACTGCCCTGAGTTATAATTGCTGCAAGAATTAAATGACCTACATACTAGGTATAAATTCCAAAGGCAGGGATTTCATTTCTTGAAAAGGGATTTGCTGCTTGAACTGTGCTCATAACACTGCTATAGTTATCATGATGTATATAGAAAAACAACCACAATAAACGCTCTTGATATATCTGACTACGCTTGCTTAGATGTCACACTAAGCCAACTTAGCTCAGCAATGCATAGCGTAGTGATGAAAGGGACAGGGGAAGAGCAAAGCAGCTCCATGCTCTTCTCTTGGGAGTCGAACACACAGGAAGTTGCCATATACTGAGTCAAGGCTTTGATCTACTTAGCTCAGTATTGTGCACTGACCAGCAGCAGCTCTTCAGGGTTTCAGGAAAAGGACTTCCTGTCCCAGACTCCCAGCCCTACCTGGATTGAACCTGGGAACTTCTGTATGCAAAGCAGATGCTCTGCCACAGACCAGACTGGTCCCACACTTACCATGTCATATGAACCAGGTAATTACTTAGAATGGATTGCCATTACAGCATCTCTGGAACTGCGAATTTTGTGGTTGGGGAGTTTGGAATGTAATTTCTCTTGTAAGTAGGGATGGACACTGGCGTTCCCTGTTCAATTCTTTTCTGTCCTATTTCTGCTGTAATTTGTGTTTTATTTATTTTTTTTAACCACTTGTGTGAATAGCAAACTGAAACCATTTTTCTTTCTCAAAACACACATTTTAAAATGCATATATATATATCAGGAAGTGTGAAGCCAGAGGGTAGCCTTAGTCTGGGATGCGAGGATCTGTTGGTTCATAATGGAATTCTCAAATATCAGATTAATCAACCATCCCTATTAGTTAAGTGTAATCTCAAAGTTGACAGCTGGGCTAGAAATATTAAAACAAGAGTGTATGTGTCTGTCTCTCTTTGAAGCAGACACTTCCTCCCATCCATTCCCACCTGGAACACAATTGAGTTAGAGATCACACCTTTGAGGCAATTAAGCCATGTCACTTTACAGTTTAGAAATTAAGCTCTGGAAGGAGCAGACAGCAATCAGTGGGGGGCATCTTCTTTCTTTAAAACTTTTGAGTTAATTGCACATGAAAGCAGCTTCTAATTCCACCCCTTCCAGCCCTCTTCAAAACTGCAAACAGCTCAGATTACCTTCACAGTTCAATTCACACTCAACAATGACTCAGTTACAGGATTCTTTTTTTAAAAAAAAAAGAGAGAGAGATAAAACAGCTGACTTTGCCAACACAGGGGTGTCATTTAGGAGTGATTATGGAGGATACGGATTCAGTGCTGTGCTGTGCGTGGATTATTTCTTCTGGCTTCTCCCCCAACCTCTGCAAGTGTGCAGCTGCATGAAATGGCTTCTGTGCATGTGCAGCTATTTGCATGTGGAAGCCGTTAATCACACTTCCATTGAACACTGGGAGGTCCCATTCTCTGCACATCCAATATGCAGTGGTACCTTGGAACTCAAACGGCTTGGCTCCCGAACAAATCAACTCCCGAACACCACAAACCCAGAAGTGAGTGTGAACTTTTTTGGGATGCCGAACATCCAATGCGGCTTCTGCAGCTTCTGATTGAGTGCAGGAAGCTCCTGCAGCCAATCGAAAGCCGTGCCTTGGTTTTCGAACCATTTCAGAGTCAAACGGACTCCCAGAATGGATTAAATTTGAGAACCAAGGTACCACTGTACGTACACACAAGCCATTTCAGGCAGCTTCAAGTCACACTTGCTTGGGACATCTGTTAAGGCAAGTAGACATGACTTAAAGCCCTCTGCAGAGCATGGGAAGGTTGCGGTTGGACTTACACAGGAAAGTTGTGGGGAGGATGCAACTAAGTTACATAGGCAAGTAAGTTGTGCACTTTCAAATATTGCAGAATTTTGGGGGTGGGGGTTGTTCCCTCCGCCAGTACCAAGATTAAGCGTTGGAATTATCTGTGGACAGTATCATTTTCCTTGTGGTAGGTTACTGTTCAATAATTAAAATGTAATGGAAATGGAATCTACTCCAGAGCATAGTATGTTGCTGCTTTGAATAAAATTTCCACGTGGATGCTGAGACCAGTTGGTAATTGAAAGCAAAGGTTTTTCCTGTTGTTCCTAAGGGACTGCAGAAAAACAAATTTGCCATATTCTTCTTAGGAAACTATTCTGTTATGCTGAAGAGTCCCAGGTGCTGTATTAAATTGTTTTCATTCAAGCTTTTCAAGAGTTTATTCCAGAAAATTACCTTGCCATTAAACAGGGAATACAATTTATTCTATGCATAATCAAATCCTCTGTGTTCAGGCAGCAAGAAGGGGTGAGTGTGTGTGTGTGTTTGTGTATGTAGAAGGAGGAGAACAATTTTTGTCTCCCTAACGCAGAGTTAAAAGAAGAGTTGAAGCTTTTTCAAAGCGTGTTGATTTTTTAATATGTTAATCACAATCAAATGTAAATCACATGCATTTCTGTTATATCCTTCACCTTCCCTTTTCTTTTAGGGTGCTTTTAATAAAGAAAAATGGGAAAGTGAATTTTTTTTACCATTCATACATCAAAAAAGAAGCTTGGCATTTGGATCTGAAACCAGAATTCTTACGGGATTGTAATTCATTTACATCTATATATA